CTTATTTATGTTATCTTAGTGAAACTGGAAAACTGGTGAGAGCTATTTTTTTAGGTTCTAATGTATTAAGTGATTGGTTTAGAGTTGTATAATTCTCCCATTGCATTTCTCACTAAATATTATGTCACTTTTTAGTTTAATGCGATTTTTTTTGATGTTGCATTATGCTTTTAGGATGGGGTAATTTCAAGTACTAATATAAAGTATTAACAAAAAGTGAAGAAATTTTAATTGACCATTATGTCCTTATAAAAAAGATTAAAGATAACTTTATCATTATGTTTTTAATTATCCAATACCAATTAAATATCCTAATGATCCTCCGTATACTTCCTTTTCCATACAAACTATATCTATATCTATACTATCAAAAATCTTCTATGTATTTATTGCCATTTTAGCTCTTGTTTTTCCAATTATAGTTAGAGTAATACTATTTAGATTTAAAAATTTGACATAATTTATTGACATAATGATATGGCTTCAACAGAACCATTAGATCAACACTAAATTCTAATGTTTGATGGGCCCCACATAATGATCACACTTTGTTGAGCACAACTCTCTCCTCTCCCTCGCAACTTTTAGCTCTCTGTTTTCTTTGCACATTTGAGTTAATAAAATACCCGACGACCCTAACCATTTAAAAGTGGATGTATGTCACCTTAATCGAACCACTATAATTCTCGTATTTTCTCTACTTTAATTATTGCATTTATTTCTCATACTTGACAGATGGTGTGTAAAGCTATTTTGTGCATCATCGTTACTAATCCCCAGCAATTACATTCTCTTTGAAGCAGTTGAATTAAGCAATTTATTCACCACGCTTTTTCTTGTTGACTGCGAAATGGTGCTTGCATTCTATTATTAATAGGTGTTACTAGAATGGTCAATACAATCCAATTTGCTATTTTCATAATTTGTCAGAACCATACAAGTCTTCAACCACGGACTCATGCCATCAACTTGCAGATATTAATGAAACAAAAATTCACCTTCAAATTGCATTCACTTGCAATTTATATGGTAAAAGAACGACTAAAGCCATCAGGCCCCATCGTTACACCAATGGTATGTCTTTGTCTAGGTAGTAATTTTATGAATTTATTGTGTCTCTTATGCACAGAATGTCTATGTTTATGCGTATATTAGTGATAATTTGACTAATTTAATGGATAATTATGTATTATCATCCTATGGATGCAATATATTGCATAAGCTGGTGGGTAATTTGTATCATTTTCCTCAGATGAAGGTTTACGAAAATCCGAGGTTTAATCCGAATGGTGGTGATATTGACTCCAAGTTTATCGACATGAATGATAACAACTTCTTTTTTTTTTTTTGATTTTACAAAGTGAAACAACAGTGCAAAAAATTCTTATTGCATGTGTACGTTTGCTGCCCACACCTTGACCATGGTTACTCTTTTTAAAAACTTTCAGCGAGTTAACTACAATTTGCCACTGTTTTTCTATAGAAAGACAGTATAGTTACAATGGTTGTGTTTGATATTGTTGCTCCTTCCGTTTGAGTTCGTTATTATGTGTAAGTCTCCCTCTTTCTCTTGTCCCCTTTCTCACACACACAGTTGCGGCACTCAATAAGAGACAATGTTCAACCAAGTCGAATTTTACATATGGGTGTGTTCTTTTATGTGCGTGGTTGTATATTTCGGGTGCCATCATTGTGCACTGTACTCAAAGTAACATTTTTACTGGTTATTTTTGTTTTATTGTTTCCATTAGAGAAATCATGTTGTCTGTGTTGTGGATGTTACGATTGTAAGTGTCCATTGGTCTTTATGAGCACACATAACTAGACTTGATGTCAATTTAAGGGTTTTTGTTTTTAATTTAATAGAAGTTCAATGAGGGATCAGATTTGCTATTTTATTTAGGAGTCTCCGTGGGCCAGGCCAGGCTAGGCCAACGAAATTTTTTTTAAAGTCAGGTCTGGGAAGTGTAAACCCAAGCCCTTACCCAAGTGCGTAATCGGGCGGGCCGGGTCGGGCTTCGGGTAAGGGTAAGCTACCCGCAGCCCAATCTATGAGCTTTATTGGGTGGGTTTGTGGGTGGGCCTACTTACGGGCTTTTTTATATACATATTTATTTAAAAATAATGAATATTTTTGTAACTTAACATTTGTGTAAATTATATTTTTGAATCAAAAGTAAAGTTAAAATGGATAAAAATAAAATAATAAACTACATCCAATAGATTAATAAATCTCAACTAGGTTGACACTTACTAACTTATCAATCGTTTGCATTATTCTATCATTTAAAACTTATATGCTTAATATATGAAAAAAAAATAATACATTATTTATAATATCTAAATTTTTAAAACTTTAAATTTCGATATTGGGAGACTTGTTTCAAAGTTTTAAATTTAATCGTTTAAAAATATAATTGTTTTTCAAAAGAATGGTGGGTGGGTGGGTTG